TTGCACTTGAAGACTTTGGTGCCAAGATGAACAAGCATATCACCATTCGTCCAAGGGAGATGTATCTTCATCATAGCCGAAACATCATGATTCATTTGAAGGGATAACCAAACCATCAATATGCCAAGGGACTCATGCTTTCACTTAAAGCATTATGTACTTTCATTTAAGTTATGTACTTAGCCGAAACATAAGGTGCCTATTCGACCAAGCCCTCTCATTTCCTATAAATTGAGAGGATTGCTTTCATTTGTACTCATCTCATTCATATTATAAAAACAACTTCTTGTGAGTTAATCGCTCTTCAAAGTTCTTTGAGAACTTTATCCATTAAGCAAGTATATTTCTATACTTGTGGCATCAAACCTATAAACTTGATTCTTATTATTCCTAGATTTCATATCTAGTGGTTTAAAGACACCATTACCATCCCTCAAGCAAGTTTGTGACGATCGGAGTTGTGCTCTCTAACATAGCTTCTTGTTTGGCGTGTTTAAGATACACTTTCATCACAATCAACCATTCAACATCAACACCATCAACCATCTTCCATTAAAGAACATCATCATCATCATATTCAATTCCGCAACCAACTCTTTCTTATCTTTTCATCTTTTATTTTATTTATCCATTCCCTTATATCATTACTAATACTATATATTTATCTTCTTTATTGCAACCATATTTATAATTCAAGGGCATTACTTTTTGTCATTCGTAGATTGGGACAGCAATAAAGCTATCTATTCACTTCCCTTAAAGAGTGTAGATTCGTCTTATATCAATAACACTCAAGGGTAATTTGGTTATTTGGTTAAAATATATATTTTGATCATTTTCTCACTTATAAGAATACTTTTATCATTTCTTTAATGACAATAGTATCTTTATGTTTTCTTATTCACGAAAGCTCATTCTCTTTATTAACATAGATTATTTCATTCAATTTGGTTCATAATGACAATTTAATCATTTTAACCTCTTAAAGATATTTTAGTGAATTTCTACTCACAATATTATATCAGACATTTTATAGTTGATGAACAGAGTACCAATTTAGATATTAATTTCTTGAACATTATTCATCGCACTCTTAAACTTTTCTTATTACTTATTATGACTAAGTGCATTTTGGTCGATTTTTATTTTCTAACTATTTCAATTTTACAAGACATTTTTAGCGAAAACACATATTTGAACACTAATAAATTCATTAAGTTAAAACTTTTTGACTTAATGGTACATGATGCCTTCAAAGAAAACCATTATTGATTGTTACATTGCTAATGTTATGATCCATAGTGCTGACATAACCATCTATATTGGATGATGTGATAAAGAGACTTAATTGGTTCTTTTAAAAAATTCTAAGGTTTAATTGATTTTTAAAAAAAATTGAGGATTTATTTATTTTTTTTAAAATTTAAGAAATTATTTAAAAATTAAAATATCTATAATACAAAAATATTCAAAAATTAAATATAAAAATACTAAAAATAAAAATAAATTATTATAAAAAAATAAATGTAAAAATACTTTTAACTTTTTTAAAAAATAAAAAATAAAATTGTATTTTTTTAAATAATAATCTATAAGCTTATAAATGATAAACTATTAAAATTGTTTAAAAGTATTAAAAATTGATTTTTTTTCTTTAAAACAATATTCGTACATCTCTCAGCAGTTTAAATCTATTGTTATTTATTGAATATTTTTCAAGTGAAAATATAATAATATTTTTTTAATTTTTAAATATTATGTGAACATAAGATCATAATAGCATACAAAATACAAATTTGGAAACTCAAAAGTAAGTTGAGCGCGATTTATATGCTAGCTTAACATACAATGTGATAGGGCTTGCAGGTAGTCCTTCGAATCATCCAAAGTATGATCAGATGTATATATGATTGATTCAAAAAACTTATAATATTTTCTAATTATGTTCGAATGTAAAATTTGTTAGTTTTTGGCAAAAATTGGCCAAATCCCCCATTGGAAATGAACAAAGGATGGAAAAATTCTTAGCCTATAAATAGAATATTTCCCTTTGGTTAAATGTATGTCAATCACCAAAATACAAGTGGTGTACTAGAAAGCTATTAGCTATACTAGTAGAGAATTTAAAGGGAAATTCTCTTGGGGTGTACTTTAGCTTTTGGGCATGTGTGAGAGTTAAATATTTTGTAGTGTGGTTGTAATAATTTTCCACATAGTAAATATTTGTTTTCTTGGTTGTCTTTTGACAACGCTTGTGGTTTTTCTCCATTTGGGAGTTTTCCACGTTAAATTATTGTGTTTTCTCTCTTTTATTTTTCAAGTATTTTTGTTAATGTTGTGATCTAAAGGGATTGTTGGATTACAAGGGGTCTATTTTCCCAACATATATGATTGATTCAAAAAACTTATAATATTTTCTAATTATGTTCGAATGTAAAATTCTTAAGTCTCGATTAATCCAGTAAGAATACTTTGTATAAGTATTGATGATATGAATGTATGATAATATCATGTTTAACATGTGTATATGCGTTAGATAAAAGCGTACGACATGCATAACAATGGTTGATATGTATATGAAATTAAAAACATGTTAGTTTTGCTAATTCGACTATATGAATATGTTTTGTTTCTCTATGTATCTATGTTACATATATATATTATGTATAAGATATGATAGGTTAATAATGTTACCTTATGATGTTTGAACTAAACGATATGTTTCAAATATTTTCTTTTATTAATATGGGGTAAATACAAGGTAGTATCGATTCAAAAACTTTGAACCCTTTGACAATGAACGTTCATACCCTTGCATACGCGGTGCTCAATCCTAGATTCTCAAGGGATAATAGCAAGTCCTTTAATCACTTAAGACTTTTGGTTTGGTTTGTGTATGTTTCAAATACATTTGATGTGAAAATATGCTTGTGTGCATATATTATATGATTGAAACATTAATTATATGTGAAAATATGCTTGTGTGTATATATTATATGATTGAAACATTAATTATATACTAGAGCGACTATATGCATATGTTTGGCATGGTTATTTATTTGCCTAAATAAATGAGATAATATTAAATCATAAACATGAGAAAACTTTAAAGTAACTTAGTTACAAGAACGATTGAATGTGTTTGTGTTGTCGTCTTATGGCTTAAATGAGATGACTATGCCTATATGAAAAATTACATTACTATTGTGTCTACATGTATGTATAAAGTATTCATAAAATATAAAAAATAGTAATAGACTTGGGCTCACAAAATATATGACTTTTTCAATAAAAATGTTCAAAATTTTAAATATTTTATAATTTATCACTTTATAGTTTGTTATATTTTTTTTTTTTTGAATATTTTTTAAATATTTTAAATCTTAAATAGTCTTCTAATTTTGTAAAAAATTAAATAAATCCTCAAAAAGCTTAAAAAATCAATTAAGTCCTAAAATTTTCTAAAAGAACCAGTTAAATACTTCAACCACGTCGTCATCCACCATGGATTGATATATCAACATTACAACAATCAACAACAATTTTTATTAGTCAAAAGGTTAAATTAAATTGTTTTTTAATTTAAAAATTTTTACGTGCAAAATATATTCAAGAGCTTAAATTTTTTTGATGAACTCATATAGTACAAAGCCAAAGTTTTTTTTAACCCTTTAAATTTTACAAAAACATTTTATGTAAAACTTTTTTATTGTATTGTTTTTAAATTTTCACATATTTTCCATCTTTACTTTTTAAAAGTCATTTTTTTAAAGAAACCAGCATATTTTATTCAATGTTTACTATTTTCTAAAAGAATAAAACGAAAATGAACTCTGTTTTCTGAAACCAAGCAAAACTTTTTTAAAAGTCGACTATTTTATTTCAGAATTAATCAATTAGAAATGAATATCATTATAGTAATGACTTTTATTTTCACTGTTTTAATGAAAATATTATCATATATAAAATAATAAACTTAAAATATCATAAATGATTATTTAGAATACAATGCACGAACCAAACAACCTTAGTGATAAAGGAATAATTGTTAATCTTTAAGGTTCTGAATTTAAGCACCATGAATACTACATTGTGAGCGTTCAATGTCAAATGATTAAGAGTTATCTTTGAACATATACTACCTTATCAAAACCTAACATTAGATGATCAAAACAAAAACTAATTAATAAGTGAGTGACCAAACAAGTAGTTTACCCAAGAAAAATAAGCTTCATTTGTTGCCAATGAGACAAAATTATAGGTAATCACATAGACTAAGCCCTACAAGTCAATTGTGATTTGCTTGTAAGCACTAAACAATATATTAATTGTATTGACATTGTTATTAAAATTTTAATAACATCTTAAGTTATTTCTTTATCCATAAATGTGTATATATAGGTGAGATCCAATTACACCTAGTGTAAAACTTTTAGTTTTATATGTTTCTAAGATCGTTAGATGAAAGAAATCAAAGGTTGAGATTAACTATAGGAAATGAGAAGATATTCAGTGGGAAAAAATGAGTTAATCTAAGTCTTTGGTTTTTTCCACATCCAATGATCTTAAAAAGGTGAAACTAAAAGTTTTACACTAAATGTAAGTGGATTCTAACTCATATATATATATATATATATATATATATATATATATATATATATGATATTCAATACTTATATAGATGAAGCTCATGAAACACATTAGTTCATATCTATAGTATGCAAAAACCTAAATAATGTACTTTATCAGCTTTGCTTGCATTTCAAGTAAAGTTTTTAGGGAATTTTTTAGTTAAGAAAATCTTCTGTACTAAGACCCAAAAATGAAGATTGAGTATTGTTGTGAAACAAATTTGTATATTTTAAAGATTCCTCTAGCAAAATGCTATTGAGATGGATGGCCCATTCAAAACCAAGGTACATATTGAAAAGTATTATAACATAAAGCTGCTTATGCATCCTAAAATAGCACAAGTTTAACACTATAATGCAGAAGCAATCGACAGCAAAGCAGATTCCTCGATTACCATTCAGTGTCACTTTGGGAGCTATTTTTTCGAATCATGCGAGACTAACATGGAACGAAGAGTATCGAAAATGGAGTCTATTTTTCCATGAGACTGGCTTGTACCTGCAAAGTTCAAGTGTTTTGGTGCTTCTGCTCTATCAAAGTAGAAACCACCAGATACCAGCTTCTCTTTAGGCTGCAACGCCAACCATATAACTGTGTCTGCACCTTCTCCACTAGTTCTGAGCTTTCCCGACAACCTGCAATGCGATTACAAAAGGAATCATTTTCATGTATTGGAGAAAGATGAGTAGAACTTTAAGATTTCCTGCTCGAAAGAGGAAACCACTCACCATTTGTTAAAATCAGGTAAACTTGTAGCTACTCCAGGTGTCTCGGCCCAACCTGGATGCATCGAGTAAAAATCTATTCCTTTGTTCTTGTACATCTCAGCCCACTTTTCAGTTTGTGCTACCTAAGAAACAACAGCAACAAGGCTTAGACATTCCTTCAATGGGAACTGCCAAGTTTGGGAAGTTAAACACACAAAAAAAAAACAAAGCTCGGTTACGTGTGAGATAAGAAGAGGTTAATTTTGAAAGATAATCATGAACATGTATTATGAAATTTACAGAACAGGTTCCATATCGGCTTTCTTCTATATTACTCTGCTCACGCCCCATGGATGAGGTGTAGGAGGAAAAAGCTTCAATGAATGTCATGATTTGAGTTCTCTATCATAAGGTTGATGCAAAACTTGGATAAGTTGGAATGCTGATCTTGCAAGCAGTCAATATCCTAATCTAAAGTTAAATAAATCATTAATTTGGTTGATTAACTGGTGATATATTACCAAATCTTATATAATATGCAAAATGTTAATCAACAAAAAAGAAATAGCTTTCTAATAATTCTAGCAGTTGAAAAGCTATCAACTTAGCTGACCTGAACTCGCTTGTTTCTAGCGTATTGTTCTACCCCATCAAATTTTCCATTGCTAAACTGCAGTTATATATGATGAAAGGAGACCTTGTAAACGTCCATTAATTTGACTAAGGCAATAGCAAGGGGTTTAGGAATGGGTGGAGATAAGAAAGGAAAAAGATACCTGTAGATCACTGGTCAAGGGAGAAGAATACATTCCACCAGATGAAACCATTATGACACGAGCATCAAGTGAAGCTTTCTCCAGCAAAGGCAACATTAATTCTGTTATGGCATAAGTACCCAATACATTCACAGCAAAGTTCAACTCAAATCTGGAGGCACAGGGAAAATAAGAAAGATGGGTTCTTTTTCCTCAGTTTAATAAAGGAATATAACACATTATACATAAGTAAGTTTCTGGTTATATAGTCACAAACACACCCTTCAGATGTCGTGACTCGTTTGTGTTCCATCAATCCAGCATTGTTGACCTAAGGAAATAAAACATACCGAAATTATAAAAAAGAAAATCATCAGCTATACATGATACATCCATAGCTGAGCAGAATTGCAGGGTATAGTACAAAGGATGGTATCTCATTCTCATTATATATTGGAACAGGAAATGATACCTGTCCATATAAAGTTTTCAAAGCTCTTCAGAAAGACAAATATGCATGTAACTAAATATTGAAGGAAGGAACTAATTGAAACTTAAAAGATGTAATCCCATTTCTGGTCTTCAAACGACTACTATTTGCTGGAGACAACTTTAATTTGTAATAAGCATTTACAAGAACATGAACTGGAACATCCTTTGAAGAGAATCTGGATGCAAACGACTTGATCTCGCTGATGGACGAAATATCGCATACCTGCAAGCTATACTTAATAAGCACTTTAAAACTGATATACTGAAGAAACTTTTTCAATATCAATTATCAACCATAAAGCTATAAACAGGTGAGGGCTTAATTTAAGAAAATTCCAAAGTCCATCATGGTAAAGAGGATATAAGCAAGGGATGTATGATAATTACTTCCAAATGAAGATTCGGATTGCCTGTCGAAGACTGAATTTTAGAAAGAGCAGTTTCTCCCCTCTCCATGTTACGGCACACCATATAGACAGTTGCTCCACTGGGGTAAACAACATCACATAACATGAATAAAAAGGAAAACAAAATGAATGTTCATGCACAATCCCTTTGAGCCTTCAATTGAATAAACCAAACAACCGAAAAGGTGAGAAAACAATCAACACCGTGATGCAAGACCCTCAGCAGTTGCAAAACCAATGCCAGAATTTGCTCCTGTGACCACGCAGTTCTTCCCGTCTAATCGTATTTCCATATCTTCAGGTTTGAATTTCTTGGAGTTTTCCCTGGACATCAAAGAAAATATTACAAACATCTCACAGTAATGTCAAGAGATCTTTTCCTAGTACTTAATCTTTGGTGAGAAGAGTTTTGACTTCTACTTATCAATATTAAGAAGCTAATATTAGGCAAGACGTGGAGAATATATACACTGATAAAAACACAAACTTAAACCTAAGCTCATAAAATCGAGTAAATGTGCAAGTGCCATAGATAATTACTCAGAACCCAGTTCTTATAAATTCAATTATCATGTTATAAGAGAAACCCATTTTTACATCAGCAGAAAGGGCAAAATTAAGCATATTTTTTTTACTGATATATAATAAATTTCTCCCTCTATCAGCTAAATTCCACGCAAAGACAAACTACCTAGTATACAATAGACATTTTCGTTACACAAAAAGAAACAAGTTAACTTACAAGAACCCATTTCTGGTGAAATTCAAGTAACCATAAACTCCAAATGCAGATGCCCTCCAAGTCTGTCAATACAAAGCAATGAATACAATGAATAATCCCAAAAAGGCAGCGGAAAAAACGAAAAGAAGAAGAAGATATGTTTAACAATAATTATTATGAAGAAGAAGAGATGTGATTACCTTGAGAAGGAACATGGCTAGTGCTGTAATGGGTATATGAAATTCAAAGTGCAAAGTTGCACTCTTCATGTCTTTCTTCAAGTTCTTAAAGTGAAGAGCAAGGTATATTTGCCGCGTTGACATGTAACTTGACACTTTGAAAAAGAAATATTGGATGTTTTTGTCGTCCTAGGTTTTGCCACGTTGCTAAATATATTACCATTAGTTTCTACTCTAGTTAGGAATAATAAATAAAATAATGTAACTAGGGTTGATTGAAGAAATAAAAAAATTGAAAAAATAGTAATATTTAATAATTTATGATTTAAGTTTAAAAAATTAAAATTGTTTGAATCAAATTAAATTTTACTTTTTAATTAATTTATAATTAATATTTATTATTTATAATATAAAGATAAAATATTTTATATTTTAAATAGTGAAAATAAGAGTTAATTAAAAAATAATCGTTCAAATTATATTTCTTTGTTTATTTAGGTGTCTCAAGTTTTTTTTTGTTAAAGTATGTATCTAATGTTTCATTATATTACTATTTTAAGACCGACTTGTTGATTCTTAATTTCTTTTATTTAAAAATTATAAAATCCTTATTTTTTTAACTTCTAAAGTCTCTAAATAAAAATAAAAATCTTAAACTCTTTAAATCACTTTTTTTACTTCATTTGTCGTCGTTGAATCAACCACTTCCATCCTCTCTTTCTATTATCAGAACCCCTATTGATTAACCTACTCTTCCACCGTCGTAAATTGACGAACAAATTTTTGCGAGCGAACGATAAATGAGAATATGTGCCACGAACGTAGAACGTAGAACGTAGAACGTGACGGACATAAAAAGATGTCATGAACTTTTGTAGTCAGAACAATAGACTTCATTGTTTATGTGGTAGGATGGCGTCTCACAACAGTTGATGGAGTACGAGGAGGCTTCAATGTTATCTATTTTATTTATGTGTTCAATTTAATTTTAACAACAACTCAATTTAATCCCTTGTTCAGGTAACACCCCAACCTGTACCCGACCCGGATACGAGTCCGAGATGTCACATTGACTTTTTAAAACAATATTCTTAACAAAATACATATCACTTGGACTTGTATTAAGAAAATATGATAATATATTGTTGAATTATGTTTGTTATAACCAATTTAAGAAAATATACGTTTTATGAATAGTACTATACAGTATGAACAGTACCGAATGCTAAAATTTTTCCAGATTGCTGCAAGGGTATCGGTACCTGCTACAGTGTACTGATACCCTTGCTACAGTAATTTCGTCCACTTATTAAAAACTCATAAAATTTAAATCGTTCATCACTATACATTTACCATTTACATATATACGTTTAAAACATTACAAAACTCAATCTTATGATTTTACAAAACCGATTAGAATATTTATCAGATTCAAACCTTTATTTACATGCCAACTACCATCAATGTTACAAAATACATATTATTCAATATTTTTCTGATATGATCTTTGGAAAGGAGGAACTGACCTGTCTTGCTTAACTTTTATCGTTCTTCCTCTTCTTGGTACCTACGTGTGAAACAATCACACGCTAAGTCGTTGACTTAGTGAGACATAAAAAACATATAATAGAAACCATAGAACATTTCATATAACCAAATACATACATGTACATATACCCTCATTATCAACACAAACATCTTTATCATGAACTCTATCATTATCATGTATTAACATTCTTGTATATCATATAACACATATATCATTTCACAAAGAAACACACATAACATCATATAATTCTTATAACACATTTTATATCCCCAAAAACATATGCATCATATATATTATATTTATGTTGTCTCTTTAAGTAACCCATGGTACACTTGTGAGAAGTAAAGATATGTGAGTGCATTGAGGTTGTGCACAAATGATGTCACCACAGCTCGTAAAATTCCCAATAGGGGCACTGAAATTTGTCCTGAAGGACCACTGTGTTCCGTAGGACCACTGTGTTCCGTAAGACCACTGTATTGTCCCGAAGGACCACTATGTCCCGTAGGACCACTGTAACCCTTGACTCTTAGCATGCCAACTATACCCTAGCTCTCATATTACATAACCTGGGCATTATCATTTATGTCATTTCACATATTCATATAGTCACTTATTTCACTTACACGTAGAACATTTTCATATGATTCACATTCACTTGTCACGTGGCTTATATCTTGTTCTTATGTCTTCTCATAGACATATATTCACATGTTCACATTGTAACATCCTCAATATCGGGTTAGTGACTAGATTGAAAAATTTCAGAAATTGGTGATTAAAGTAGGATAATTGAATAGTTCAATGATTTATTGGAAATATATGATGAAGGCTATTTAGTAATTATGGAATGAATTAAAGGGTAAAATGGTCAATTGACAAGTAAGATTTTTATTCTTCTTTTATAAGAAAAGGGAACCACGTGGAAAGAGAGAGATTTCTTCAAAGTTATCTTCTTCTCATTTCTTCTTCTTCACGTGGAAGCCAAGAGCAAAGGTAAGTTTGATTTAGCTGTTGATTTCTTGAATTTTTAAGTTGGATTTGAGTCTTTGGGGGTTATATAAGCTTAAGGAAAGCTTATATAAGTTTAAAATACCAAGAATATAGAATTAGAAAGGAATTTTTATTAAGAGTTTATAAATGAACTTTTATAATAAAAAGGTTTTTGAAGTTCTAAGGATGAATTTGACTTGTCAAGGGTCTAATTAAGAAGTTAGAAGAAATAGAATTGAATTTGGAACATGTTGAAAATTTAGTGTAATTCTTGAATTACATATGGAGAATAGGATTTTGATGTTAAAGAAGTGATTAATGAATAAAAATGAGTTTGAATATGAGTATGTAAGTTAAGAATAAGAAAGGGGATGATATATGAAGTATTTAAGCTGAAAAAAGTGGATTCTCGGGCATAAATTGGAATTCTGGGCTAGTGTGCATCGGTACACATTCATCATGTACCGATGCATCAAGGGTAAATTTCCAGAAATTGTTCAGAGTGTATCGATGCACAGGAAGTGCATCGATTCACCCCTTAAAAAGGGAATCATCGAATGCAATTAGTGCATCGATGCATAAGGAGTGCATCGATGCACATGTTAAGGGATGCATCGATACACTGTAGAATGCATCGATGCACTTCAAGGGAAAATATAATTATACCTTTCTTTTGGTCTAAGAAATGATATATTAGAATATATCAATTGGATATTGATATGTATCAATGTATGATTATATAGATATCAAGGACGAACAAGTTCCAGAACGATTATCAAGTTAAGATTCGATCGAAAGAGAGGAAAGCATAAAAGTGGATTGGAACTTAGTGAGGCCAAGGTAAGTGCATATTAGATAGTGTATTATATTTAATGGAAATAAGACTTGTGACAAGTCTATTTCTTATAGTAAAATACATGAATTCATTAATATGAGCATATGGTTGATATGTTACATGTGTGTTATTGATTGTTGTATGTGTTAATGACAGATGTGAATATATGTTTATATGATACATGTTAAGTGTCCATGATATATGTACACATGATAATACGATATAAGTTAAATTATATGATACATAACTATAAGATAAGTGAAGGAATGTATATATGATAGAGATTATGTATGAGATATATGAGAAGAGGTAGATGTGATTAGGTGAAAAAGAATACAAACATATATTAAGCCATGTTATATGTGATAAATGAATGATATGAAAAGTGACATGAACTACGTGAAAAGAAGCTACATGATTATATGTAAATGTGAAAGAAGTTAGGAGCTTATATAAACATGTGATATGAATGTGTATATGTGATACAAGTTATGCGACATAAGCTACGTGATATGTGACAGTGAATTACGTGTTGATATGACATAAGTACATGAACAAATGAGAAATGATATAGAGTTTTACACATACATATGGTATGTGACAGAAGAAAAGGAACATGTGATCATAAGAGAAGTGATATGAGTATAATGCCCATGTTAGGTGATATGAGAGCTAGGGGTATAGTTGGCATGCCAAGAGTCGAGGGTTTACCTATGTTCTACGGAACATATGGACATAATTATCTATGTCTTTCGAGACATATGGACAGTATACCTATGTTCTAAGGAACATATGAACAGTTTACCTAGGTTCTTCGGGACATATATACAGTTGTCGGGGTTCTTTATGACCTCTGGATAGGTCCTTCGGGACATTTATACGAGCTGTGGTGACAACATAGTGGTACAAAACCTCAATGTACTCATATACCTTAAGTTCTCAAAAGTATACATGGGCTAATACATAGACTTTAAAGAGAGTAAATAAATTAATTGATATGATACGATGTGTGTTCGGTTGTGAACTGATATATGTGTACCATGATGTGTATACAAATGTTTAGTATATGTTTATACGATAAAAAGAATTAGTGACATGTGTACATGGGATAATAAGAGATAACATTGAATACAATGTATGTGATATATATATGTGTTTTGATATGAATTATATGATATGATATACGTGTGTTAGTGATCCTTGTATATGTTGTAAGATATATGATATGAACATAATGGATCATATAAACAAGAGAATAGAAATATGAATGGATATATGTTTGGGTATGATGTGATATCAATAATTGTTCATGCATGATTACAAGTTATAGTTTACAGTATATGTTTATTGCCTCACTAAGTCATAGACTTAGCGTGTGATTGTTTCACACGTAGGTTACAGAAACGAGAAGAAGAGTAAAGAGCAATGTGGAGCAAGACATGTCAGTTCTCCTTACCGAAGGTCAGATCAGAAGAGAGGTGGATAATATGTATTTTAATATATAAAGTTCTAGTTGACATGTACTCAAAAGAATATAGTGTATAAGCTATGAATAGTTCTGTATACGTTTTGAATAAGTTATATGTTATAAAAATGTTAAATTACTCGCTATTTTATACAAGTAAATGTTTTGAAAAGTCAATGTGACACCTCGGACTCGGATCTGGGTCGGATACGGGTTGGGGGTTTTACATTTAATGGTATCAGAGACAAGGTTTAGCCGATTCTAGGCTTAAACCGAAGTTAAATGAGATTTAAAATG